TGGATCACTGCCAGTGATCAAAATGTCATCGACGTAGACCAGTATATAAATATGGAGAAGATCCTTATGAAGATGGAAAAAGGAAGGATCAGCAGTGCTGACGGTAAAACCTTGAGTTTTGAGGTAGTCTGTGAAAGTGGCGAACCAAAGTCGTGGTGCCTGTTTTAAGCCATAGATGGCTTTATGTAAAAGACAGACATGATCAGGAAAATTAGTATCTTCGAAACCTTGAGGTTGATGCATATATATGGTCTCAGTTAAAGCTCCATGTAAGAAAGCATTCATAACATCAATTTGTTGGATTTCTCAGTCATGATGGAGAGCAACTAGAAGAAACAAACGAATGGTAGTATGCTTGACGACGGGACTAAAGGTTTCAAAGTAATCAATACCATAGGATTGTTTGAAACCTTGGACAACTAAACGAGCTTTGTAGCGAGCAATGTTGCCGTTGGAGAGATGTTTAAGCTTATAGATCCATTTGCATCCAATTATCGGTTGACGAGCAGGATGGGGTACTAGAGACCAAGTACCTTGAGCTTGAAGAGCTCTGAACTCAACAGACATTGCTTGCCGCCAATTTGAATCTTTGTTTGCAGTAGAGAAGCAGGTAGGCGTAGAATGGAGAACATGAGACAAATCAAGGAGAATTCGTGGTTTAAGTGTGCCCGTTTGAGATCGGGTGATCATAGGATGATTGGGTTTGGGTGTAATGGATGGGGAGGAAACAGAGGAGTTGGAAGAATTCGTGTTGGTAGGAAGAGGAGAATGTTGTGTTGTAGAGCTTGAAGAAGATGGAGCAGGGGTAATGATAGTAGGGTCAGAGGATAGTGGAAGAAGATGTGGAGGTGAAGGAGGGAGATAGGAAGCAGAGGTGATGGAATTGGTTTCCTGGAAGGTGGTAGAGGGGGTTGGAAGAAACGGAAAGAGGGATTTATCAAACCGAACGTGACGAGAAATGATAGTTTTGTTGGTTGAGGGGTGATAACATTTATAGCCTTTATGAGATGTTGAGTAGCCAAGAAAGATGCAGGGGATAGATCGAGGAGCAAGTTTATGTGGAGCTGAGAAACGTGTCCAGGGATAACACCTACAGCCAAACGGACGAAGTATAGTGTAATCAGGAGGTGTTTTGAAGAGCAATTGATGTGGGGATGTGAAATTTGTATTTGGAGAGGGAAGATAGTTTATTAAAAATACTGCAGTAAGAACAGCAGCAGACCATAGATAGGAAGGAAGATTGGCATCGAGAAGAAGAGTTCTTGCGGTTTCAGAGATATGCCGAATTTTTCTTTCAGAGACACCATTTTGTTGAGGTGTGTAGGGACAGGAAAACTGGTGTGTGATGCCGCGAGAAAGAGTAAAGTTTTTAAGATGGGAGTTGTTAAATTCAGTGCCGCCATCACTTCGAAGAGTGTGAACTGCTGTATTAAATTGTTTTTCAATGTAGTTAATGAAGTTAACAAGAAAAGAGGATACTTCATTTTTTTGTTTTAACAAGTAAACCCAAGTGTATTTAGTATAATCATCTATTAGAACCAAAAAATAACGAAAACCATCATTTGAAGCAACTGGGGATGGACCCCAAACATCCATATGAATAAGTTCAAGTGGAAATGAAGATACATTTTCAGAAGAAAAGAAAGGCAGCCGATGGCTCTTAGATAGAGCACAAGCATTACAAAGAGACTTTAACGAAGAAATACATAAAGAAGGAAATGATTTTGAAATGGCAGCCACAGTCTTTTGATTGGGATGACCCAACCGTCGGTGCCAAGATAAAGCAAAGCGATCTGAAGGAGCAAGAGTTGTTGATGCGGCGAGGATGGACTGCTGGAACGGGATGGGATAGAGTCCATTACGGCATTGTCCGTGAAGAAGCGGTTGTTTGGTCATCAAATCCTTGACACAAAAGCCAGATTTGTCAAATTTAATGGAACAATTATTATCATTGGTTAATTTAGATATAGAGATAAGTCTATGAGTAAGTTTGGGAACATGGAAGAGATCATTGAGAAGAAGCTTACGAGTGGGTGTCGGTAACAGACCGTTACCAACATTTTGGATGGGCAGAGAGTGACCATTGCCTACGAATACCTGATCTCTACCTGAATAAGATTGTTGTTGCTGAAGCGGAAGCGCGTCTGGTGTGAGATGAGCTAAGGCTCCACTGTCCAAGTACCAGGGAGCTGGTTCAGATTCAACGACTAATGCAACAGACGAGGCAGAGGACTGAGGAGGTGTGTAACTGAAGTTTCCTCTATGCCAGCAATTCACAGCCGAGTGGCCTCGCTTCCCACAGATTTGACATTCTCCTTCAAATCGAGGTGTGCGAGAAGTAGCTCTGTTGGTATTGTTTGAGTAAGTTCTGCCTCGTCCACGGTTGAAAGAGGATCTACCACGAGATCTTCCACGGGTAGAAAACAGAGCAGTTTGTCCATCAGGAACTGGAGAAGGAGTGGAGAATGACAATTCACGAGCTGCATCTGTAGTCTGATGGACTTCTTCACTTCGAAGAAGAGAGTATAAATCGTCCAGATTTATGGGTTGAAGGGAGCTCCGGATTGTCGTTTTGAACGACTGGTATGAAGGAGGCAATCCGTTTAGGATGTAATGCAGCACATCTTCGTTGTCGATCATTCTGCCAGCAGCTCTTATGTTATCCACTATTGTTTTAATGGAGGCCAAATAATCAGTCATAGATTTGTTATGCATAGACAGAGAGTGCAGCTCATTTTTGAGCTGGATGACTCTCGAGCGGTTAGTAGAGAAGAAACGGTTCTCTAAAGTTTACAAGATCGATGCAGAGGTTTCCAAAGTCAGAATATAAGGGAGAATTGACGGCGAGATTGTAGAAAACAGAGCGACAGACAAGTTTTGATCAATTAATGACCAAGAAGAAAACTGAGGATTCAGCGTCAACTGTCCAGTGGCAGTTAAGAGATGTTTCGGAGGGCAAAGAACATTCCCGTCCAAATAACTAGAGAAATGATTTGCAGCAAATAACTTGTAGATGGCGGATCGCCATGTAGGATAATTATCAGGGAGTAATTGAACGTCAATAACGTTCTTAACATTGGCAAGAAGAAACTTGAGAGTAGGAGGTATTACGACATCAATGGAGGTAGTGGTAACATCGGACGTGACGATTGCCGGAGGTGGAGTGTTTGGAGCAGAAGCCGACGAGTCTCCCATCTTCGTCAGCAGCCGAAGGCAGCGCCGTTAGGCATCAGGCTCCGATACCAAGATGAAACACAACCTGCAACCTAGCTGATAACACAAGCAGAGCAAAGAGGAAGATGAACAGTAACTGTGTATTTTCCATAGCATTTCAGAGCGTAATACATGTGCTTATATAAAGAGAAAGGTAAACAGTAAATTACTAAAGTAACCCTGCTTATCAATTTATCTTAAGATTATTCATAGGAGTCAAATGACCATCTTGATCCCTGAACTTTTGATGATATCCCTGAACCATATATGGTTCATCTTGATTAATTCTTCATATGTATCCCATACAGTAATACCTTCAAAACATGACTATTCATGTATACATCAATGAAAAATTTCATTCGATCTCACTTTCTCCTCTAAGATATCATCAGTGGGATACGATAAACAATCCATCAATCGAATAGTACCATCAAAGATCAAATTCTTCTTAGTAATTATATGAATGAAATCCCTTGATGCTAAAAGCCTTGATGATGAAGACTTTGATGATGATGATATTATAAGCTGAATATGAACTTCAATCAATACTAATTGTTCAGAGAAATGATTAATACATAAATCAAAATATGATAAATCCTGATTTTATTTTGTAATTAGAAAAAAATTATTAACAACAAGAAGTAATATTAATTAATAAACATTCTCTTAGATATTGTCATTACAAATTAACGTTATTATAAAAAAATAATATTAAAAACTAACATAATATCTAGGAGCATAACCCTACTTATCAATACATAGCTAACTCTATATAGATCTCAAAAAAAGTAAACAAGTGCATCCACATTATGTTATATATTCCTAAGTAGATATTGCACATAAGCTTGGAGCTGTGTTTGTGTATGATAAAATTCTTGTTGAACTTGCTGTAAATCTTGTCCATTTAGAAAAATCATTTTTCTTTCCATATTTATAACATCGCATCAGCATTTTATTGTATTCTAGAAGCCATTGATCATATGCCTGACACCAATAACGGTATAAAATATTATGATCTATGTGAAGCATGAACATCCCCATCCCCGGTTTAACTATACTGTGACGCCCCAGGCATTCATAGTGAAAGAATTCGAACTGACAGTCTCGGTCAATCTCCATTCCTGCTCCCACGCTCGGACCTGAAATTGTTAACCACATATAATGAGCTTCAAAAAGCCCAGTAGGTCACCTAATATCTATAACTTAAATCAAAGCACGGTACTGAAAACAATATGCATGTCAATCAGTCGAGTCCATAACAGTCAATTGCACATGATCAATGAATCTATGCAGATAAGAAAATCCGTAGTCAATGCACAATTGATAAAATCCATAGTCAGCGATAGGAGAATCAATAAACAGTAGGAAGAAATCCATAAAGCTCAATAAACCAGTAAATACGATACTTCTCGCAAGAATCCAATCAAATCAATGAATCCAAACAAATCAATAGAAGAAAATCATCGTCTCGATAATATCAATAAAATCAATCAAATCAATCATCTCTGGTCAAAATCAATCAATACGTCGTAAGAACGATTGAAATCAAATCAATACAGTAAAACCTATTCCATATCAATCAATGAATTACATGCAGCAGTTCAATATGGTGTATCAATGAAACAATAGTATCAATGAGTCAATAGTATCCATGCCCATAGTATCAATAAGTCAATGCAATATCGATATCCATATCAGTATCAATATCAATGATCAATGAATCAATGTACAGTGGCACAATGCGAATATCAATGAAATCGTA